ATTTACTTTAATTATTAATTTATAAAATTTTATTTTAGAAATTATTAAATTAATAAATTTATTAAATTTACTTGTGGTAAGAGATGTACACCAAATTAACATTTAAACATTGGATATCAGGCTGAGAATTCAAGGGATTCCAGCGAGGAAAGAATAGTCGCTTCCATAGTACCTGACGAGGATGCTTCCATTCAATCATTGGACACCATCGCTCGCCCACCCATAGACATCAGTATGATCGATGATTCACCGGCCATCATCATCGCATCGAGGCCTCATTCTCACGAGACCGTCGAGAATATCGAGACTTCGCGTAATAAGATTCACACACAAGAGGTAAAAAATCATCCGTGTGACTTCTTGCTAAGATGATATTAACCGCCTAATTTACATAATTACGGTTTCAGTCCACGGAAGAAGAGTCAAGCGTGAACGAGACCTTGGAGGATAGACAAAGCAAAGACAGTACGAGTGAAACGAATACCGAACCAGGAATATTGAAGATCGAGGTACAGCTTATGAAAAAAAATATATTTTCTTTGTTTGTGCATGTAATAAAATCCTTTTTATTACATGTAAAACAAGTAAATCTTTATTAATGAGAAACGTATATGAGATATAACAAATTTGCGAAAAACGATATAAGTCATTACGATATAAAACGTTTGTTAAATCTTTCGGATGCAGTCTGAATCTGTGGAAGCTATCGAATCGCGTAGGAGAATCGCCTCAAAAGTACCGATACGCGGCACCGGTAGATATCGAGCTCCTTCCAATAAAAGAGCTTCTCCAATCGAGAAACCCTCGGAAAAATCCAAGCGGATGGTACAACAGTGTCTCGCGCAACTCGAAAATAAAGATTGGTAGGCGTTAGTCTTGTAAAATCTAAGTATCAGCTACTAAAATACGATAAATATTCTCATATTCTATATAAATATATATTTCAGGGAAATAACGACGAAGGGCCTGAAAAGCCTATCTCAGATCTCGAAGCAGCATCCGGAATGTCTCGACACGTGCCCAGTCGGAACAATAGGCAGGCTTTTGGGGCGGCATATAAAGAATCTTCGTTCGCAAGTGGCGCGTGCCGCGTGTCTCGCTGCCAGTGATGTCTTCAGCTCGCAGATCCGAGGCATCGATCAGGTGGATATGCCATGAGCGCGTGCATGAAAATAAATAATGTCTTAATTAGTAATGTCGCGAATATCAATGCATTGGCCATCGATCGACGAATCCGTATGGATTATATATATATATATAATAATTCTGATATCACTTTTATAGTCTTAATCTCTCTCTCTCTCTCTCTCTCTCTCTCTCTTTTCTCTATCATTTTTATCGAACATCCAGTCAATTTTTTTTTACAGGATCTGGACGATATAGCTGGACCGTTGCTTCAAAGAACGGCCGATACCAATCGATTTCTTCGAGCGGATAGCAACGCAGCGCTGGATCAGATGGTGCAGCATCTTCCGCCTCATAAGACCATCGGTATCATACTTCGGGGAGCGAGGTAAATTAAAAGTTTTAAATTACCAGAAAATATTCGTATTCTTTATATTCTTTGATTGCTTTCTAATTATTTTTCATTTCTTAATTATTTTATTACAGTCATCAAAATGCTGTTGTACGCGCAGCAACCGCTCGACTGCTATCTGACATCACCGATCGCATCGGACCGGATCACATTATGATCTTACCACGTGACGTAAAAGATAAACTGCTAAATACATGCGCGAAATTGTTAATGGACGGAAATCTAGACGCCAGGTAAATCGACTCATTCGCTTTTGTCGTTCTTTTATTCTCATATCTAAAATTATTATTCCTAACAATTACAATTTCTATCAGATATATCCGATAAATGTAAATTTTTAGAAATTATGCGAAAAAGATGTTTCGATGCCTGACTCGCTGCGAGGGATTTCGGAAAGCGCTGACGGACGCGGTGCCTGAAACAACGTTGAGACATATCGACAAAACCATGAAAACCCTATAACCGTAATCGTTCCGTTCGATTAAATCTGCGTAATGTTATTTAACCCTTTGCCCCGTTGTCTCATCATTAAACAAACTACCCCAGAAGACTGGTTTATTACGCAGAAACGTTTTAATGATCCGTTTTAAAAGCCGATTTAGAATGGACGAGAATTTTCTACAGTATATACCGAGACAAGCAAGCAGCCGTTTCTCCCTTGCTCCCCTTTGTATATTTTCCTTCTGAAAATTAAATACAGCAAAATGATGTGATTTTAGTGATTATAATGTCAGGAAAAAAAGGAGAGAGAACTCGATAGGAGAGGGCTTATCTGGTATTACGATTTTCGTCTCCTTTCTCTCATCAAGGAACTCGGCGAAGTTTTGATACTTGTAATTTTAATACATACGCATGTATATTAGTTTTTTATATGGTTGTATAAAGGAGGTGCACTTTGACATAAGTGCGTTTGGAGAACTGTAGTGCCTTTGTATTGGTGATTGTTGAAATTCCGCGATTGCAATTTTAGCTCAATTTTAGCGCTCGTGACATAAATTGTGTCGAAGAAAAGAAAGCAACATTTTTGTCTCACTATTGTCTTCACCAACTCTACATTAACGAGTTGCAGGAAGAGAAAATATAAGATATACCTGAAGAAAAGAGACTCATTGCCGATAGCAATGAGTTTGTTTCGGAATCGACAATGCTTTCGACATGAGTCGAAAGTTTAAATTTGTTAGTTCGATACCATAATTGTTTGTAAATCCACAATTGTAACTTTCTAACATATAATATACTCTAAACGCTACAAAGAAAAATATTGACGAATTTATAAATTTTTATGGAATAAATATCAAATGCTATAAGACTAGAATTTGTTTATGAGAATAATTATTGAATATTATTTGACTTCTTTCTCTTCTGTGATTTGTAAACCGTCCATTAGAATTGTATATCAGAAGGAATTCATTTATATGTACAATATATATAAAATAATTTATACACATATACACATATATATACCAAAAATCACTACTTATTATTCATGGAGGGAAAGCACACATACTTATACTATTGATAAATAAAATTAATATTGTTACATTATATAATAGTCTACTTATTCGCAATGAGCTTTTGAAGATATTCATTAACATAATTCAAAAAATTCACTTTTCTTTCGGCTTGAAGTTTCTTTCGAGGCACAATAAACAATTAAAAATAAACTCGCAATTATCGTTTCTATCATTATAGAAGAGTAGGCTATGTAAAAGCTGTTTAATTATATTTTTTTGTAAAAATATATATTGAAAAGTAATTTTTTTATCTTGTATTATTAATATTTAATTAAAAGTTGGCGAACTAGCAAAAATATATTTTCCAATGGAGCAATCTTCAGTTCAAGACGAGTCAATTGAAACATCGAAGAAAAGAAGCGTCAAAATTATTATAGACTCCATTGAGAATATCGTAAGTTTTTTTTTCTAACTATTTTATAATTATAAAAAATCTTACTTTTTTATACGGATTACATATAGACTATGAAAGAAGAAGTTAGCTTATCGTTTGTCATGATACACAAAGACATAGTGTTGGGAGAAAGTACTCCCCTTTTTATCGATCCGGGTTTCAAGGAACCGCCGCAAGTTTACGATGTCAATTTCGCCGTTGAACTTTCATTTATAGTTAATGATCACGATAGCATGAATTCAGTGGTATCGACGCCGATTTTAAGTAAAACATGCATTTTTATATCATAACCCATTTGCAATAGAATTAGTTTATAATATTCTATCAGTATAAATATAATAATTTTTTTAATTATAATTAATATGTAACTATTACATTTTTTTATTGTTTCATTAGTAAAAGTAATGTGCGAAATTCAAAATCAATACTCGACCAATTCCGTTAAATCAAATGCGGATTCAAGGATAAAAACAACAGTAACTACTCCGAAAGAGACGTTAACGTCGTCAAATGTAATCGGTTTCTGCAATCTTGATCTGATGCCGATATTATTAGGTAATGATTTCTACTAAAATTAAAAAAATAAAATGAAAATATATGCACACAGTATTTCTTATAACTTTGTATGCCATCACAGGTAAAAAATCACTCACTGAAAGATTAATAGTGCAAACAGCGCATTTCTCGCTCGATGGTAATGCGGTCTCGTGGCAAAATCTTCCTATAATAAACGCGACAATGATATATGATGGTGAAGAGATAATTCCTTCGGAAGAAAAAATTAATTTCCTGAATATAACAATAGAAAGTATTTACAATCCCCCAGTCTTCTTCGCCGAAGATAAAGAATATAAAGCAGGCACGATAGTATATATTAACGACGAGGTAATAAAAAAATAATTACGTATTATTGGCAATGGGAGAAATATTAAAAGCGCGATAAATAATAGAAAAATAAAAAAAGAAATCAAAATGTTAAAAATTAATCAATCTAAAAAATATATACATATTAAAAATAGGCCAATTTTTTCATTTCTATATCGATACGTTAAATAGAGAGAAAATAATATTTTAGTAAAATATTATTTTTGTATTTCTCGCTTTTTTAAATATATATAATTTTAAGAATGTATGCGCAAAAAAAAGTATTATAAGAGCTGCAATAACGAACGAACAGACGCAATGAGGCGCATCGAAATATAAACGGAAAAGATACGAGAGTATACAAGCGAATGATAAACGAGCAATGCAAATTATCAATTCTAAGAATGAAATCAAGGAAGCAAGTTTAATCTGAAGTCGCATTTTCAAGCTAACAATGTTATCATTAACGTTCTCGCTTCCGCTCACTTCCATTTTAGATTCTGTGTTATATAATGCACGATATATAAAATTTATCATTTAGTTTGCATACTAATCGATACTACTATATTCTTTAACAAATACGCATTTTAACATTGCCAAAAGAAAAAGATGCTTATTTTTTAAGGAATATGGTAGTATCAATCAATATCTTACTTGTATATGGAGCAGACTGTATACAATAGAATAAGAAATAATTTGTATAACATTTAATTGTTCAAATAGAAGAATTACTTTTTACCAGATCGCAGAAAATATAATATTCGAAGACGGTAAATGGACGAAGTATCGCGATGTGGAAAGAATGAAACAATGGCAGAGCTTATCGAAATTACAGAGTCGTGCTAGATTGTCGAAGTGGAAACTTAGTCGCGATTACGAAAATATAAAAAATACGCTCGATACAAAACTCGATTTACAGGTAGATTTAAAATATTTGGTGCAATTTCGCAATTTAATCGAGCAAATTAAATAAAGTGTAGATTAATATACAATTTGCAGAAGAAAGTTTGCCAGGACGAGCCTAGAATCGAGTGGAATTTTATGAGTCGTAGCGTAATGTATGATGTAGGAATTGAAACAATGCAGAAACATATTGTCAAGTACATATTTCTTGTAATTTTTTTAAAACTCCATATTAAATATCAAAATAAATTTTGTATTCGAAGGTATAAATATTGGCCATTTCAATTTATGATGGCCGAGAAAAGTACAGAGGAGAAAAATGTTAGACCAAAGGAAGAAAGACCAGTTAAATATCAACTTTATCAGTGTTACGTTGATTTATCAGAACTTGTTTTTCCAGGAAGTAAGTGCAAGTGTGGATCTATTTTAAATAATGAATAATACACTGCTTTTTTTCTACATCTTTATAAATATTGCTGTGGCTTAAAATCTGAAGAATATAAAAATCTCTTCTTAAATATTGATATAAAATATCTTCCGCAGTAAAAAGTACTCGCGTAATGGCGCAATTGTACGCACACAACACGTCCGATATGGCTGAAAAGACTGGTTTAGAAAAAAGTATATTAGAGTCTAGCAATAAAAACTTGGAACGAGAGCCGAAAAAAGTTAGCAGATATACGTATATATATGATGCCTAAAAAATTAAAGGAAGAGAACAAAAGATTAAATATAATAAAAATTTTCTTTAATTTATTTTTCAAATTCAGTCAGACGTGGAAGATTCGCAAAGTACCTCGTTAATTTCAGAAACCGGTGAACCCGTTTTCGTCATAATCGAAATCGAGCTTTATCGTCCATTTATTCCTTGTAGACTCGAAACTGATTTCTCAAATATGTAAGTTATCGGTTATATGGAATGTTTTTCAGAAATATATCATAATGAAAAATATCATGGTATCTAATCAAAATATAATAAATTCTTATCGAATCATGTTTTAAAATTCATTCCGATTTGATTAATTTCGCTAGAATCGAGGAAATGATAACACCGAAGATAACCAAACCGTATTATGTGTATTCCGGCGATATGGCGGAGGAACAATACGCAACCTGTATTCGAAAAATAGTTGAGATCCTTACAGAGAGTTATAGGGTATTAAATTTTCTATATCGTGATATATTGAAAAATAATAATCTATATCAAATATTTTGCATTATGAATTAAAATGTTACGTATATCAATGTAAGATGTATTTTTCACGTTAGGACTTTTGCGAGGAAAAAAAGCAAGAAAAATTGTTCACATCGAGAAGACAAGAAAATGATTCGAATAATTTTGAAACAACAGATAAAATAAAGTATTGCTTCGTTTCTGAAGAGGTGAGATCAATGTTGACGAAAATATAAATAAGAATTATTATGTTGTACGTTCGTGACAATTTTCAGGACGAGTTAACTTGCTTCACGCAGTATCTATATAAAACTGGCACGTATTTGACTATACGTAGCACTTTGAAGGCGAAAGTAATTTCTATGCTAGATCAGAGATTCAAAACAAGCGTGAACACAGTACAGTCGATCGACAGTCAGGTCCATAAACTTATTATTTAAAAATTTTATGGATTATTTTAAATTTATCATTTTATTTAATAAGACATTGATGCTGAAATTTATTGTGTACGGTTATTGAAAACAGTTTTGTAGCTATAAAAAAAATATTTTTATAATCGTAAATTCATTCATTTATTTATTAAGCGAAGGAAAATAAGCTTTCTCGCAAATTACAATTTATATGTAGAATTTTGTGACATCCGTATATACGTATCTCGTCGAACGAATGCATCTGGCCATTAACAAGATTGTCGAAAGCCGTCTCGCGGATGACAAATCGGATGATGAATCGCTAAAAATTGCGGTATCTGAAAAATTATATTTCTACGCCGCAGAAGCTTACGAGTTAGGTCACATTGACGATGCAAGACGACATCATCAGACTGTACGTTATTCAATCTTCTATATCAGAATAGTATCAAACATGTTATTATATATAATCTTTTTCGCAGGCGATTGCAGCGGATAGAAATAATCCCAGAGCATGGACAAAATACGCGATATTTCTCTTAAAAATTGGCGATACGGAACGCGCAAAAGAATGCTGCCGCGAAGCAATTCTCTTGAATAGACGCGATAAAATTGGGTATGTAAAAATATGAAAGTATATATTTTAATATAAAAAGAAGGACCATAGATAGATTTGTATAAATAATTTTATACAAACAAAATGTAATAAATATTTCTCCCCGAGCAGTTTATTGTTGCACGGATTAATTCTTGCCGAAGATCAGAACTATCGAGAAGCCGAAATCTTTCTAAAAGCCGTTACCGATTTTTATCCGCGATTTGTCGAAGGCTGGGTTATCCTGCATCTGCTTTACATTCGCATGGATTATTGCCCAGGTATAACAAAAACCTTATGTAAAAAATCTGCGTTATATGAAAAATTACATAAAATTACATAAAAATATAATTATATAAATAATAAAAATAATTATATAAAAATATTTCTCTATTTCATTTTAATAGGAATAGATCTCACTTTACGAATAGCGGAAAAATGTATGAAAGACGATGATTCAGAAACGGAGATTTCAAATGAGGATCCCCTCGCTTGGACAATGATTCACTGTCCACGGAACAGCGTGTACATGATAACGGCCACGCTTCTAATGAAATTATATTTTTGCGACGTAATGAATTCTTTACTTGAAAATTTATCTTTATATAAAAATGTAGAAATTGCTGTCACGCTTTGTATCTGTATAGTTTGCTGGCATAGCGCTTACGGAAGAAATGTCTTGCTCAAGCAGATCTGTTCAAGTGCTATATTATTTGGCCGTGCAGCATTATTTGTCACACCAATACGAGGATGCTTTGTCGCGTTTAAAAGAAGCCGAATGTATCTTCGGATTGGTCTGTTTCATCATTTTCATCTTCGTCCGTTGTTTTTAAATATCCTAACCGTTAATTTGACTTAAATTTTGCTTTTGTAATTATGGAACTATAGAATAAAATCAGTTAATTAATTTAGATAAAAGATAGAGACGTAGATAATTTTGAATAAATATACAGAAATTAATTAATTTAACTATTTATGTGAAATATTATATAAAATTTATATAACTCTGACAACTGAATTTTACACACATATTTAAATTTCTAAAATATATATATTTTTTTTTTTTAGGATTATTCGATAAGCGGCTTAATGGGGCATTGTTACTTTCAAAAGTGCGATTTTGTGGAAGCTATTCGTTGCTATGAATATTCTAACACGATGTATAATCGACCGGACGATCTGCATCTCGTACAGACGAGGTAAACTTGTTCGTCTCGATATATTACGTAAGATAATGGAAAAAGAAAAAGACAGAGAGTCAAGTTATTTATAAAAATATTACACAATGTTGCTAGAATGGGATTGTATTACGAAGATACTGGTGACTACGTGCGCGCATTAAAAGTTTTTCTTAACACATGTGGAACTTCACCAACGGCGGAAACGTGGCTTGGTGCGGGAATCGCTTTTTATGAGGTAAGTTAAATAAAAAGAAAATTGTTATTTAAAAAGAAAATTACGTATCGAAATTAAATCGCACATTAAAAAATTTTTTAAGATTACTTTTATACACGTATAAAAAAAATTGCTTACAAAAATTATTATTAGTTGCAGCGATTTACGGAAGCCGAGGCAGCTTTATCGGAGGCGAATCAGATCGACAATCGTAACGCGACTGTTTGGAAGTACTTGTGCTTATTAAATATGTCTTTACAGCGTCACAACGAACTCGCTCAGTGTCGGAGACAGATCGCTCAGGTGAAAAGTTATTAACAATAAGAAGCATTGACATTTTCGTCGCAGTCTTACGTGTGACATGTTATCATTTCTTTGCAGGACAATACGACTTTCTCTTTAGAAAAACGGTCCCTCAAACCGCGAGATGGAAAACCGGTCATGCTCTAAATGCAACCGCGACGAGAGACATATAAGCTTCCTCTCTTTAATTCGAAGATTCAGTCAGCTGTTCTACGACGATTGTGATGAGATTATTGGTAAGTCAGAATGTGCAATATACAGCGTGCCTTGCAACTAATGTTATAACCGAGGAGATAATAATTCTACGAAAATTTTAGAGAAAAAATAAATCGATAACGTAAAATAAAATTTTTTATATGTATAAGGCTTTATTTATGAGAAAATTAATTTCATTTTAGAAGTTAGAAAATTAATAACATATTGACAATTATTTAAGCTTGAATAATTTTGTGTTATCTTCAAATTCATTTCGCAACAACGACTGTTAATATATAAATATAAAAGTATAACGTTCCATTTACTAAAATAATTTAAAATAATTAGTTACTGAAAAAATGTACATAAAAATATCCAGAGAAACTTAATTTTTTAAATAGAGAAAATATGTATCTTTTTATACAAATTTTAATAGTTGCGAAATTCGATAATATATAATTGATAATTATGATAAAGATAATCCAAAAAAACATTATTAATTCTCCAATTCTCAAAGTGCATTTTTTCGAAAAAAAAAATAAATAAAATCTTTTAAAAAAAAAATTTATTTTACATTTTCAACTTTATTTTTGTTTCATATAGCATTATTATCTTCTCGGCTACATTATTAATTACAAGAAATCTTATATTTTTAATCTTCTATTCTCTTAAGCTGCACTTTAATTACGCAATACGCGCGATAGAATATTGAGTCACATGAAATAATTAATCAACTAATACTTTTTGTGTGCAGTGTACTCTTTTTATACTAAGTCTGCTTCAAATAGCGATGTTTACTGCGACGGTTGATTGCGATGAATCAAGGAGCGTTATGCGTCAAGAGATAGAAAAAGAAGGTAATATTGCAGTCGGTAATATAATCAAGCACAGAAGCGTTTGCATTGATAGAATAAGAAATAATCTTTCAATTCAAACAGAAAAAATATTATCACGGTCTTGATAAAATATGTAATTGATATCTGCTTATAGATAACCTTCAACGGGTCAAAATAAAAGTTTTCCGTGGTCCAACACAAGAAAAAAATGGTGATTTTTTCGCTCCTTGGGGATACTGGATTCAACAGCCTGGCATATAATTTGGTTATTTATTTATTATTCGTTTATTTCGTTGTTAATTGTCTTTATTTTTCATAATGATATAAGGATAAAATATTTCTTCCTTCAATATCTATGTATTTTTGCGAATAATATATGCATGTCAGAAATTAATTAATATAAGATACTTTAATTTTCTTTTCTCTATAAGAGCGATTATGTTAAAGATATTTATAAAAAAAAATCTATGTTCAATAATTATGTTACATCGCAATAATTAGCTTTTACGATTAATAATTACTTTTTGAATCAAGCTTCGGGATAGAAATACTGGATAAGAGCGTGTAAAAAAATATGTGGAAATAATAAAAGGTACGAGAAGAGAAAAGAGATATTTCTGGTGTTATTCCATTTATATCATAATTTTGGCATGTACATCATCTACAAGGTACAATGCTTTCGGTATTCTATGAAACATGAATGCCTGTTACTTCTTATATGCCGGATTGTTCGGATTCATCTGTTTGCCATGATTATCCAAATCAGCCTTAGTCCCTGTCCCTTGGTAACCTGCATGATGCCCAGGTCCTGTCGGGGTATGAGTGGGATTGCATTGATTGGTACGATTAGCTTGATCTTTGGAATCCATCTAGAAAAGACAAATGAATAAAATTTTATTAAATCAGATTTATAAATTTTTAATTCACACATAGATTTCGATCGAGAAATATCAAAGAAAAAAGATCAAAGAGAAGAGAAAAGAACAATTAAGCATGATTAATTAAAAAATCATACAAGAAAAATGTATGAAAATTTTATACATTGTCTTATTTTAAATAGTGTGAGCTCATTCTTTATTACATTACTTAAGAGATACACTATATGTACCTATCTATAGATTTTTCAATTGCAAATATTGGATAAAATGTCAATATACTGCATTACACACAATGAAAATAAATTACCAAGTTATAAATAAGAGAAAAAAATTAAATTTATTTTAATATAAAAAATATTTTGTATTTCTCAATATTAACACTTCTTATTAAACTCTATTAGCTATTGCATTATAATATTTCAAATTGTTAATATTCGAAGTCACGCACTTTTTTTTAATCATAGATTTTCTAATAAGTAATTCGTAATTCTTTTTAACAAATATTCAATAAAAATATTATTTTATATGCTACCATAATTTTATACCTTGTTTTGTTGCTATTACTTTTTTATATCAATTAGTTTTTAATCTGTATTAAATATAAAATTACTAATTTTTAAAAATGTAGAAACAATTTATGTATTGACACTAAAAATTAATAAAGCAAATGTGTATGACTTACTTTGCTATTAGCTGGATGAAGGCTTGTGATACAAAGACTTCAGTAAATTCTGACGGTCAAGGCTACGTTCTACTTGCAGCAGAGTTGCAGCGGGTTTATAACGCAATTTTCGTGCGTCGTGATATTTATACCCTCTGCTATACATTGTGGGAGGAATTCTCTGAAGATAAATTGTAATTAATAAAGAGAAGGGATCCCCCTTTTCAAAACAAAGCAAATGATAGCAAATGAATAGAGTTGGTCGCATTTTCAAATGAAGTGACGTCAAATTGTGCATGTTGCCAATTGGCCAATTCAGCACAGAATCTTTTTATTGATTGGTCCAGAGTGAGTTGTCCAGCTCACTATAAATCATTATGGTCATTTGCAACGTGATCAAAGGAAAGGGACGTCTTCAAACGAAGTAATGATAAAGTTGGTCGACCTGCATATCAAACTGTACATGCATCGCGCATGTTCTTATACAGGATTCATACGTCCGATGCTGATGTACGGCGTTCAATATCCAATAGAAAAGTTCATTTTATAGGGACAAAATGTCATTGATTAAAATCCATTTTCTATTGGATATCAAACTGTTACAATGTAAATTTTCTATTATGCCTAACATAGAACTAATTTCCTCAGGTCTACCGTGATCAAACTCGGATTAACTTAACTAATTAATTGATTAAGTAACAGATTGACAAACATCAAAATCTCTAACATAATTTTCATATATAATATAAGAAAAATTTTGAACTTTTGTTGTTGCTCATTCTGCAAGTTAATCTACAATTAATTAAATTGATAAGCTTCGATTAATTAAATTAATCGAATTTGATCGAAATGGCTTTCTTCGATTACACTACATAAGGATAGATTGTCAGTTGCCATACTCATGTTTCTTGTAAAAAAAAAATATTCTTGATTAATAGCTAATAATATAGGTATAGTTTGTATATCAGACATAGACCGAACATTCTAGTCATTTTCAAGTAAGTGTGTCGTTGCCGCATGCGTGCCACGCGCATATCGTTTGCGAAGAGGATTGCATGTCTTCAGGCGCTTGTAATTTCTTGACATTTATCTTGTAAGTTTGATACTGATTACCAAAATTTAAAAAAATATGTATTGAAAAAAGAATTCAATTTATTCTATATAAGTGAAGATTTTATATAAAACATTTTAAAAATAGATAGCCAAACTTTAGGAGTTTATTCTTCTACTTACCTTAAGGATGGAAAAACACACACTACCGTAAATATCATATAAACGAAAAAACATTTCTTTTAAGTTTATAAATCTGGATAAAATATAGATAATATAAATTATAGATTTTAATTAATATAGATTTAAAATGATGATTTCCTTTTTGATTTTTGTGAATTAATAAATAACTGCAAATCTTAATTAATCGTAAAAAACTTTTTATACATTAATAAATCTACTTCATTTAGACTTTTTTTAATATATTATAATATCTCAAATGTTAAAATATATATTATCAGACATTTTATTTCGATTACTTAAATATTTTCTCATATTGCACGATTTAATTTTGAAATAACATTGTTCCTAAACAATTATACCTTAAGATAATCGTTCCTATAGAAATCAATCATCGATGAGTTCCCCTCAAAATTCGAAATGTCATCGAAATTCAAACGTCACAGATGTACACGCACATGCACGCACACGCGCGCTTAAATAACGGTTCGTACGCATCTGTCCCCCATCAGTACTCGGGGTACAATAGGGGTCGCAGAAGGACCCCTTCGCGCTTCTACAAGACGCGCGGCTGGGATCATCGTCGTCGAATATGTGCGTGTATTGCGTGTAGACAATGAGGAGAAATACCGGCCGTGGCGAACGATCTCGCCGTCGCAGGAATAACAATAAAGCGACGAGATTATGCCATTATATCATTACTACATCTCCATTAACGACTTCGGTATTCCCTACTATCGATAGCCTCGATCTTCGTCAATTAACGAAGGACGCGCGAGGCTTGTAAATGAGGTTTTTCTTAGGCGTGTCGTTCACCGTTGCAATGTATTGTTGCGTGCGTTTATCACGCACAACAATTCGCGATTTATGTAAGAATACGTTTTTTCAGTAGTATAAATATTGCCATTTGTCTTCATCAAAGTTGAAGTTAAAAAAAGAAAGTAAAAATTGTACAATAGAAAATTTAAATGCCCTCTGTCTTTTCAGAGTCTTTAAATTTCAGCATCAATGACCTCGACTAAACAATTGCTTAAAGCTTCAGCATCAATGTCCTTTACTAAATAATTAATACAAAATTTTCATTATACTCTATTGTCGCTCTCCTTATTGTGTGTGGTCGTGCTCGAAAATTTCTTTAAATTCCCTTAAAGTTTACTACGTAGATATGTGCGAGTGATTCATCAACTCACGCGCGTGACGCATTACGCCAGGCGTTTTACACGCAGATGTCCCGAGCGGCGCGTGCCTCCACACTGCACTCGGAGAGAATGGTGGCATAGTTGTTTCCGAGGGGGCCCGGACCCCCGTTCGATCGCGCGCGCACCGGGGTAACGATAGTCACGCACCTGGCCCTTAAAAACACCATTGGCGTGATTTCGTGAACATCTTCTTTCAGCTACGAGCGAGTCGAAAAAGGATCGGTCTTTCTTTCGAATCTTTTTACGATCGCTACGCCAATGTCGGATCGTCTTCGAAGAGACAAGACTTATCGCCTTTGACAAGTAAAATAAAAAGCGTCTTCCTGCGCCTCCTACTGTGCACAGGCTTGGGTACATGATTGTTGGAAGCTATTGTCATTATGGAAGTGCAACGGCAAATGAGTTATTGAAAATGAATTTTAAGCGACTTGTCCTTTTACTTTAAACTCACTTTCTACTTGAGAATATCACACACTTCTTTCTTGAAGATCGTTGAAAGATTAAACCTTTTCTTAAATTCATACATTTATCATAAACATTTTTATCGGGATTCTGTTTCTTTTATATATTCATTCTCTTATTTATTAATTCCAATATATATTTTATAAGTTTATAATCAAAATGATCGAAAAATGTTCCTACATTTCACGTACCATACTTGCTTATTTATATACAATTATTATTATTAATTGGTTCTGTCTTTTCAGAACAATATTTGGCCGAAAACTTTCTCTCTTTATGATTTTTAATTATCGAATTTTTCATTACCAAATTTTCTAATCAGCTACGTAAAATAAAGCTATAATACCGTCATTATATCAAGAAATAAAAAACACCAGTTCCATTATTTGAATATTATGATTATATAAATATTTCAATTATTTCAATATCGTTCCATTGTTTACATAAAAAAATTGTGGCAAAAAACTACCTTCACACGTAAATCGATCATTTTGCATATTGGAGCCTGGATCAAGCTATCGAGGCTCGATTAAAGGTCTTCCGATGTACGTCGCATTCCGTGAAAGAGAGTACGCACCTCGTTACGATTTGACGGTTACGCACCGACATGCACGCGTGTGTGCGTAAGGGGGAAGCGCCCGTGCAAGCTGCCCCCATGGAGTCGACAAAAGGGGAGGAGAAGCGCCGCTGCGTTTTCACACGACTTGGCTTTTGGGGCGGGGAGAGGCACGTGAGGAGAGATCGAGTTGCGCGCGCGACAAGGAAGTCGGAAGTCGAGCCCGAGAGTCAGTCAATTGTGGAGCATTAACGCGCTTAGGTCAATCATCGCGCCGACTAATCGTACGCGCGTTTATATTCGCGAGAATCTCAATCGCAACTCGACTGAAGAATCCCGAGTAATCTCGATGCGCGCGTGATTTTTGTTTGTGTTCATAATTTAATTTACGATTTAATTAAATCAAAAATACACGCGTCTCTCGAACAATTAAAATTTGGATAAAGGATCTTTATTCGTGTTCTGTTCTTAACAGAACTTTTACAAAGTTTGTACGTCCTCTGCGTCGAAGATCAGGATCTACAGAAAAAGAAGAATATATATCGCATGCGAGACTCACCATTAAGCAGCAGACGTATGGGGGTTGCGACGGACACCACATACGGTTCTCCAAGCAGCCACGCGACCACCAGCCGTGGGAGGGTCGTCCCGCTCCGCTGAGTCGTGAAAACACCCCGTTGGAGTAACATAGCGTTGCACCCTGGGTCGCATCACTTCGAGGTCCCGTGGACATTTATCGGACCTCCTCGTTTGTCCGTGCCACGCGCGCGTCCTACGAGTATAATAAAATAAATTTAAAAAAATTTAAGAGAAGAGATTATAAACAGTTTGCAAAATAAAAATTGTACTTCCTTCGTTTCGGTTGTGTTCATTGTGCTTTATAATTTGTCGAATAAAGACAGCAGTGAAAACATGAGCATGTTCAAGAGATATCAGAGTAAAGTGTTCTGGGAGCAAATGGCTTTGCACGATCTGCAGAACGATCGTTCACATCACATTTTTAAGGAAAGCCTCCGCGAAAACGAGAACGAAGAAGAAGAGAATTCCACCAGTAAATCGGAAAACGATACGATCGATGGTGCAAATATTACCGCGATACGTGTCAGCAATAAGAGCGATGAGAGTCCAAAACAGGACGTGTGTCAAATATCGTTGACACACGAAGAAAGTATTGTACATCATAGGTACGCAGAATAATAAATCTGTCAAATAATTTTCACAAAAAATAACAATTCAAAAAATACCTCTCTTTAAGAATAAAAAGGCATGTATATATATATATA